TCCCTGGTGTTCTCCCTCTGCATTCTCTGTTTTGGGTCATACTTATTTCTGCAGTGAACAAGATTATGACATCATCCCTCTCTCCTCACTGGTCCTTCCAACATTTCTGAGACAACTCCGGGGCCAAGAAGAGACTGAGAAGCTGGGGGAGGTAGGACCTTCCCAGGACACCAGCCTAGTGCCAACTAGGTGTTGAGCTGCCTACCAACAACCACCAGAGGGCACCCCTTCCCCATGCCTCTGCTGCGGAGGCTCCCTCGGGAGTCCAGGCTTGGGATAGGTCAGAAGTGCTGCAGGCCGTGGACACAGGCTTGTATCTGGACAGTGACAGTGCCTCTGCCTCATCACTGACTAATAGAAGGCCACGTTTCATTGTTATTTCCTCCCTGTGGCAGAACTGGGTTCTGAATTTCTCCTCAAGCAAATCCCCAAAGCATACTTGTAACCTAACCTTGGGTTAATAAGTATAGTTTTTCCCACCTTTAGGGATTCAAGTTCCCCCTGGGGTTTGGAATGGAGGTAGATCTGCCTTCGCAGACCCCTGTAAATCAAGGGGAATCGAAAGTGGCATTTAAATCTGGCCTTACATGCCAAGAAATGGACATCTTCATGCTTCCACCCCGCTGGTGATCTCAGTTCCCATCATACCCCTACACTCTCATTAAGTCACACTTGTTCCCACGTCTGCCACAGAGTTACAGAGTCCAACTCTGAGACTTCACTAAAACTGGTCTTGTGTGTTTCCTATTCTCCTCCTGGCAATGCCCAGATCCTCCTTCCAAACCCTTCTCGAAGCTTGCTGTCAGGACGAAGCCAGCCGGGTCCCTACCAGGGCAGTGTGGCCTTTCTATTCTCTGCAGTCCTCCATTCTTTCTGTCCCACTGTGGGGTTTGTGTTTAATTCTCTGCTCCTTTATCCTGCCTCTTACATATCTCTTTCCTGAGCTAGATGCAAAAACTGAAAATCAGATTGGCAGACATAAAAATATTTTTTAAATTATATAGTGAAAACAATATAAACACAATAGGAAGTAAAAACTGAAAAAAAATACAATAATATGATGATGGATTAATTTATATAATACAGAGAATTCCTAAAAAGCCATACCAAAGAGATGGAGAATCCAATAGAAATGGCCAGGCAACTCAGAGAAGGAGAAAAAGTATTGGCCAATAAATGTATACATTAAAACGTTGTCCCACCTTTAGTTTTAACATAAATTAAAATAAGAAGGCATAATTTTAATATAAAAGATAGACTGATAATACCCATTATTTATTGTTTACTAGAATGGGGGTAATAAGCATGCCCTATATGTATTTGGAAGGAGTACATGCTGAAGCACAGTTTGAAATGTAGTATAAAAATAGTAAATGGATGTCTTTTATACAAAATCATCTCATTGCAGAATTATCTGTGACTGTGAGATTTGGAAACAACTGAAATATTCATCAATGGGAGATATAGTCATTGAAAATCACATATAAATTGATATTCTCTATTTTGATGATGTGAAAGGATGCTTTGCCATAAATTGTTGAGGGTGGGGGAGAAAGAGAGAGAGTGTGTGTGTGTATGTGTGTGTCAAGAAGGAGGAGAGAGAGAGAGAAAAAGAGAGAGAGAGAAGGGAGTTAGGGATGATACATACCAAAATTGTTAACGGTAGTTTCTTTAGAGAATGAATAGGTACTTTCATTTTCTGCTTTACATATTTTAATATCCTTAGGGTTTTGCTGCAATGTAAATTTGCTACAATTAAATTTTTCAAATTTCTTTTTGAGACAGAGTTTCGCTCTTGTTGCCTAGGCTGGAGTGCAATGACGCAATCTCGGCTCACTGCAACCTCCGCCTCTTAGGTTCAAGCGATTCTCCTGCCTCAGCCTCCCAAGTAGCTGGGATTACAGGCATGTGCCACCATGCCTAGCTAATTTTTTGTATTTTTGGTAGATACAGGGTTTCTCCATGTTGGTCAGGCTGGTCTCGAACTACTGACCTTAGGTGATCTGCCTGCCTCGGCCTCCCAAAGTGCTGGGATTACAGGCGTGAGCCCCCGTGGCCGGCCTAATTTTTTAAATTTCAAGTTTGAGGAAAAAAGGAATAATTTGTTTATATGTTTGTCTCCCCTACTAAACACATAAGTCATTAGAAAGCTGGAATCAAATTATATTTGGTTCATATTTGGTTTACTGTATAAATTGTATTTATACAGTGACTGATAAAGAGTAAACACTCCATTATTTTTTTAAATTAATTTTCTTTTATACATTTTAAGGGTGAATGCTTTATTTAGCACATACTTCATTCCCCATAATGTTATATTTTCCTGTATTTATACATTTGCCTCCCCAAGTAGAGTACAAGTTTCTTTTTTTTTTCTTTCTTTTTTTATTTATTTTTTATTTTTATTATTATACTTTGAGTTCTAGGGTACATGTGCATAATGTGCAGGTTTGTTACATATGTATACTTGTGCCATGTTGGTGTGCTGCAGCCATCAACTCATCAGCACCCATCAACTCGTCACTTACATCATGTATAACTCCCAATGCAATCCCTCCCCCCTCCCCCCTCCCCAGAGTACAAGTTTCTTGAGGCAGATCAAATAGGGACTCTACAAGCTCTTACCAGTTCTTTACAAGGTATAGATTTTTCCGTAAGTGTTTGCTGTACTTGTCGGATGCTGAAGGACTGAAAGCCATTTTTCCTCCTTGGGCTCCAACTCCCCCACCCACATTATCTTCCTCTTCCACGGTGGGATTTGAGTTTAGAACATACTAATGTCTCTTGTGACTTTGAAAGATTAGGAGTCTAGTAAGGAATGTCTCCAAGTTAGGTTTTCAGTTGGAATGAGCACTGGAGCAGATGAAGACCTTGCTTAGGAGAGAATCCACGGCTTAAGCCTGGAAGGAAACTTGTTTAAGAAAAAAATCTGCAAATAATTGCCATGACCTTGACCATGAAAGTCAAAATCTGATTGACTAAGTTTTCTCTTTTAGTCCTGGGTTCATCATTTTCTAGAATTAAAATGTCAGGATAAAAAAGATACATCTCTGCATTCACCAACATAATAAAGCGTAATGTCAGGAAAGCAGAGATAAAACGTTAATGCCTTTCTTTACTGTACTCTGAGTGCCAATCTGATCATCTGATTGAAGTACAGAGATAGACGCCTGCAAAGCAATGCCAGCGAGAGTGAATGCACAGGCACACTTGTAAAATGCTACATTTACCTCCTTCAGCAGGGCAGGAAATACCTACCATAAGATGAAAAGATCACAGTTCAAACTAACAAAGAATGCCATGAGTGCTTGCTTTTTCTTTAGACGGAGTCTTGCTCTGTCACCCAGGCTGGACCATGAGTGCTTTCTTAAGCCTCATTTTAAATTTGAAAGAAGAATGGATACATTGGTATGCATAAGAAGTTTAGTATGAACCCATACTATATTTTGTTATCAACAAAGAAACAAGAACAAAATTGGCACCCTCTCAGTAAGCTGAGCTGAGGTATTTTCACACTGAAGGTTCTGCAGGCTTCTGGAGCCCTTGAGAACTGAGTAGGTAGGTTCAGGCAGCTATAACAAAATACCACAGACTGGGTGGCTTAAACAACAAACGTCTATTTCTCACAGTGTGAAGGTGGGGAAGTTTAAAACCAAGCTGCACGCAGATGAGGTGTCTGGCGATGGTCCTCTTCCTGACCTGCTGAGAGCCGCCTACTCGCTGCATACTCACATGGAAAACAGAGATAATCTCTTTTGTGTCTAGTTTTGTAAGAGTACTAATCCCATTCATGAGGACCCTACCCTCATGATCTGATTACCCCAATGCCCTTTTTCCATAGACCATCACACTGGGACTTAGGGCTTCAACATGTACATTTTGGGTTGCACCGAGGAGCCAGTTATAAAAAAGGCCCTGGGAGATAGGCAGGGAGAAGATGTGCAAGGCCCTGAGGATCTGAGCCTTTGAATCTGGAGTGCAAGTCCATTCTCACAGGTTAAGGCAAGATCCTGAACAAACATTTGTTGAGGTTTTTCTTTTTGAGTTTCACATAATTCTTTTTTTTTGAGATAGAGTCTTGCTCTGTTGCCCAGGATGCACTGCTGTGGTATGATCGCAGCTCACCATAACCCCACCCTCTGGGGCTCACTCAGGTGATCCTCCCACCTCAGCCTCCCAAGCAGCTGGGATTATCAACATGTGCCACTACGCCTGGCTAATTTTTCCTTCACATACTTCTTGTACTTGCACAGTGGAGACAGACATAGACACCAATACATCATGATACAGTGTGAAGGAATGAAAGGAAATAGAATGCACTGTAGGCAGAGGTGCCAGCTAGTCTTGGCTCAGGGGGAAGTGGGAAGAGCTACAGAGAAGGTGTCATTGGAGGTGCCTGGTAAACAATAGCTGTTGTCGGGTGCGGTGGCTCGCGCCTGTAATCTCAGCACTTTAGGAGGCCAAGGCAGGAGGGTCACTTGAGCCCAGGAATTCAAGACCAGCCTGGGTAATGTAGTGAGACCCTATCGCCAAATTTTTTTTTTTTTTTTTTTTTTTTTTAAATTAGCAAGGTGTAGTGGTGCATGCCTGTGGTTCCAGCTACTCTGGAGGCTAAGCTGGGAAGATCCTTTGAGACTGGGAGGTTGAGGCTGCAGTGAGCCATGATTGTGCCACTGCACTCCAGCTGGGGTGATAGAGCAAGAGCAAGACCCTGTTTCTAAAAAACAATAAGCAGGCCAGAGGTGGTGTGAGCACAAAGAGAGGTGGGGGCAAGAAGAAGGAGACAGACTGGGATGATGAGGAAGGAGATTCAGGGCTGAGGGTGATACCAGGAGGCAGAGCCTGAGTATCACCTCCTTCCCTTCTCCAGGACCAGGTCCCTTTTAGGTGAAACTAGATGAAAAGGACTCTTCAGCAGCTGTCTTCACAGCAACTAATTTCTGGCAGGTCAGAGTTGGCATTGCTCAAATCTGGGCTTCGTTTCCGAGAAGTTTCACAAGTCTGCCAGGGGAAGTCCCTGGACTTCTTGCTGCTTTCATGTAGGGCAGGCTGTCGAAACCTCAGTGGATAAAAGACCTAGAGAATGTGCATCCCAGAAGAAGCTGGTCGAGGATATGGGAGCAACCACCATGGAACAGAAGTCTCTCTGGGCAGGTGAGCATCGGGTTGATAATTCAGCAGGAAAGTTGTTGAGGAAGAAAGAGGTAACAGGTCTGTAGAAGAAGTGATCTTCCTCCTTTCATGGGATTTCAGTCTTTCTGTTGACCTTAGTGTCAAAAAATTTCAGGCCAATGCAACTGTCGTAGGGGAACGACCTGATCTTTCCTGAATGGGCAAGAAGGCAGCAGTAGCTGGAGCCCTTTGCACTGGCAGGATGTTCTCAGTTTGCACAGAGGTGCTTCTTGTCCACATTAGAACTGAAGCTAAGACAGGAAAGAGGCCAAATTTTCTTAGTCTCTTAGTGTATGAGCATCATATTGGGAGTCACATCTTTCATGGGTCACAACTTTTGGAGAGCTTCACATTTCTCATCTGCAGAATGATTTATTGAATTAAATGTTTTCTGAACTCTCCCTTTCAACTCTAAAGTTCTGATCCAAAACTCTGGCTTTTGTGATGGCCGAGAATTGGGATGAGAGTGGGGATGAGGCTAAACAGGGCTATGAGTGAACGAGGGACGTTTACCAGGAGGCGAAGGGAGGGTAGGGAATATGTCTGCTGGAGGAAAGAAATCATTTCTTTGTGTCCATACCTCTTTCACCTTGTCTTACCCTCTCAAGCCATGAAGCACCCACTTGGCAAGAGCCTTTTGGGTTCCCTGTTGAACTCAGCTTAGCCCTGGACCCACCCTTGACAGGGTAGACAGTAGGGAGGCCACACTTTGGAGAAGGGCCTGGAGGCTGACCTGACAGTGGATGTGCCAAACAGAATTTCTGTGACCATTTACATAGTGAGTGTGTGGAGAGCCAGGGCTTAACTTCCCTGCCTAAAAAAACATGTGAATCATCAGGAGAGAACAGTAGAGCCCTGTTTTCCAGCCCTAAGCTCTGCAGGGGAGGAATCAGCTCCAGCAGCTGTGTCATTGAAAGTTTTCTCTCCTTTTTGGCTGCCCCTTTCCTTCGCTTTCGGACCTCTAGGGGTTTCGGAGTGGACAATATCCCCAGGCTGGGGGAATTGCAGTTCCAGGAGTCTTGTCCATGGGGCAAAGTTTCTAGGATCCAGGGGTCTGCTCTTTCTTTCCTTTAGGAGGATGTGTTAAGTGTAGAATAATCTCACCAGTCTTCCAAGGGTAGATGTCCTATGGAGAAGAGACTGGGCATAATCTCAAACATGTAAGTTTAAAGCACCACCAGGACCAGCTCACACTGCTTACCTTGTTGTAAGAATTAATTGTTTTTACATAGGGTGACCATCTCATTTTGCCTGAAAGAGTTCTGGTTAAGTTATCGTCCCAGGGAAATTATTAATAATGCTCCTTTTCACTCTTTGAAGGGTCTCATTGGGCAATAAACTATATGGTTACCCTACCTATATTCAGCTCCAGACTAGACTGTGAGCTCCTTGAGTGCAGGGAAGGCATTAACTGCATTGTAATTTCCCCAGCGCAATGCTTAGCACAGAGCATAAAATTCAATAGAACTTTGTTGGATAAATGAATGAAAAAATAAATTCCCAGCTTGGAAAATGTTTCTGCCTAGGAATGTAGAGACACAAGGCACCCCAGGGCTGGGGAACCTCAAGGTCCTGTAAAGAAACCACAACAGCCGTGGCTGGGGAGCCCAGATGAAGTGTGGCTCTATCTTGTATGTGAGCACACCCACATTTTCACGGCCATTATCTGGTACAGCAGAACCAGGTTTGGCTCAACAGATTTCTCTTTCCACCCATCTATTGCAGGTGTAGTGGTCTTGCTGCTTCTCCAGGGAGGTAAGTAGTCAGTCACTACTGCCTGGATCTCCTGGCGTGGGTGCTTTCATTTTTGATGTCCAGTTTCTTTTTCTGCTACATGCTTTTTCTCTTGGTTACTCTCTCCGGTTCTGCCACTGACATATTTATGACAGAGTTTTTGTTCTCTGTATCATTTTGTGTATCCCTTCTTCTAGTTCTTTTTGAGCCACTCTCTCTCTCACCCCTCCCCCATACCTGGCCTCAATATGTGTGTGTGTGTGTGTGTGTGTGTGTGAATACAAACATACACAATGTTTGTATTATCTGTTTCTCTACTGATCTGTGTCATCCATCCATCCATTCACACTGAATCTTAGTGCTCCATGGGTGTTTCATATGTTGATGGTATTTCTGTCTCTCAATGTATTTTATTTTTTTTAATTTTTTTGAGACAGGGTCTTACTGTGTGGTCCAGGCTGGAGTGCAGTGGTGTGACCATGGCTCACTGCAGCCTGGACCTCCTAGACTCAAGCAATCCTCCAACTCAGCCTCCTGAGTAGCTGAGACTACAGGCATGTACCACTACACCCGGCTAATTTTTAAATTTTTTGTAGAGATGGGATTTCTCTATGCTGCCAGGGCTGGTCTTAAACTCCTGGGCTCAAGCAATCCTCCTGCCTCAGCCTCCCAAAATACTGGGATAAGAGGTGTGAGCCACTGTGCCCAGCCTCAGTGTATTTCTTAACTGGGGTCTGGGTACTCAAGAGCCAGCACTAAAGGCCCAGGCTGAATGGCCCTCAGAGGCTCTGGCAGAATGAGCAAATGATACAATGGCTGTCTTGGGGAGAAAGTTGTGGCTTTCTGGGCTCTAAGGCAATAGCACTAGAGTCTCATTGGCTCTCTTCACTCCACTCCAGGATCTGCCTACAAACTGGTTTGCTACTTTACCAACTGGTCCCAGGACCGGCAGGAACCAGGAAAATTCACCCCTGAGAATGTTGACCCCTTCCTATGCTCTCACCTCATCTACTCATTCGCCAGCATCGAGAACAACAAGGTTATCATCAAGGACAAGAATGAAGTGATGCTCTACCAGACCATCAACAGTCTCAAAACCAAGTCAGTAAGATGGGCGTAGAAGCATCCGGCATGGATTTTAGAGGCGGGAAGCTGGTTTTAAGCTGGGCCTAAGACCTACTGTCTCATTCATTCATTCATTCATTCATTCCTGTGTATTTCTCTGGGTGTATTTCTGATCCTAACTGTTCTCACCACTGCTTCATCCCTTCACTGAACTTCACTTTGGTTCAAACAGCCAGGCCCTAATTGTCCATATTCTCTACACTTAAGAACTCTGTTCTTTAGACAAAGGCTTCCCTGGCAGCCAGAAAATAAATAATCATCTTATTCTTCTGCTTCAGGAATCCCAAACTGAAAATTCTCTTGTCCATTGGAGGGTACCTGTTTGGTTCCAAAGGGTAAGACTACATCTTTATTTTTTGTTCATTTCCCGATGTAATTTTTGATCATCACCACTTTTCTTCCTCCTGAGAAGAGATATTAAACTAGGCTTTAAGAGGTCTTCCCTTGGCCAGCTGCAAAACTGATCTGAGTTTTGTCACAAGAAGAGGTGCAGCACTAGATTTCCTGGGGTGTTTGAAGGAATTCTTCTGGAGCTTAATACAAGCCCAGACACTCAAGGCTTGAAAGTGGGCCATGAACAATACTCAGAAAATTCTTAATTATTTGCATGAATGTTTTTCCCTTTATGGATTATAGAGATAGTTTTAATTGGAAAGTGCAAATTATTTTAAATTACTTGAGAGTTTGACTTTGCACCCTGGGATGGTTTGGATGGGCTGCTTCTGCTTAGAAGCCCCGCCTTGGACCATGGCAGTCAGTGGACTACCATGTCTGGAATCATGGCTCTGCAGCCAAATGGCCTGAGCACCATCAGAGCAGCAGAGGAGACAATCGGTTCTGCTTTGCTTAAAACCAAAATAACCATTGATACAAAGCACACATTCGAAGTAATATTTTCTACTCACATGAAAATGATATCCCACTCACATCACGAGCTAAATGAAAACACATAAGGATAAATATCACATTTTTTCAATCTTCAACTACAGTTTATATAATTTTGAATTTCTTCTGCTTTATTATTTAAAGTGTTAACATCTTAAAAAGTCCAGAGATCTTAAACTCGGCTAGGAGAGTCTTGGAGTTTTTACAGAAGTCTGATAGTACAACTTGTGAAACCTGTCAGTACTGTTACAGCCAGAGTAGGCAGAGAGAAGAAGTAGTGTTAGAAGACCTGTGGAGATTTCTGCACACGGAAAGAAGGAAGAAAGATCAGGCTACCTAACTTTTTTGGTTCTGTGTTAACCCCTCCATGAACACCCTTCAATATGAATGGGCTTCCATGGTACCCATCCTTCTAATTCTCAAATTCTCTTCCTTTCCTAATACTTGCTTAGGTGTTGATGCAAATAAAAATGTCTTCATTTATTCATTCATTCTTGCATTCATTCATTCATTCAGTAAATAATTGCTTACCAGTTTAGTGGTTAAAAGTAGAACTTTGGAGATAGATATATTTGGTTTGGATTTCCCTTTAGACGCATGCAAGCTGTGTGACTTCTGTCAAGTTCTTTAATGTCAGCATGCCGCAGTTTTCTTTAACTATACAATAAGAATAATAACAGAATTTACCTCAGGGTGATGTTGTAGAGGCAGGCAATGCAAACTGTCTAGCATAGTGCCCATGTGCAATAAGGGCTCAATGGTTGCGGTAATCATTATTATATGATTATTGTTGTTATTATTAGGTAAATGCCAGACTTTGTGCCAGCTGCTGTGCAGAATAATTACATATGTGTAACACACAAACTTGCTTCTAAGGAACAAATTAGTAAATTTCTATTGAATGGGCATGTCTCCTAAAATTGCAGGCATTTTCCCAGAGGCTCAGGTGCAATGGCTTTCTAATTATTGTAAGCACTTTCAAATGCAAGAGAAAAGCTAGAAACCTTTTTCCACCACTGTTTCCTGATACCAGGCCAGTTTCTTCCTATCTCTTCCACTTTGAACATGAGATACATGCAGGAATCAAAATCTCAATTTAATATTGAATAAAACAAAATTAATTCAAGGCTCTAAGAAAGCCTGGGGGTGGGAGGTATTGTAAGAGGTGAAAAGTGACACAACTTAAAGGTTATGTCCCCAGGAAAATACCAGTATCTCATCTACAGCCTTGGGTTTTAAATGCTCTTGGTGCCCTTGGTGTGGGCATCTGAGAATCAATTTCATGGCTTCAGAATTCTAGTTCAGATGAAGCCCTTGAGGAGCTGCTGATTTCAAGTCCTGTTTTCATCAGAAATCCTGGGGGTGGGGAGATCTGCATTGCCTATTTGTGGCTGGGATGCTTGTTTGGGGACCATGAATTCACTGGAGTCCAGTCCTTTTTCTTGGAACTTCCCTAAATGTTATCCCCTTGAGGCACATGAAGCAGGATTAATACCCTCAGTCTCAATTTAGAGGTGGCCAGACTGGAACCCTGAGAGCGGGTTAATGACAAAGTGGCCATCAGAAAAGACTGTGACCTGGGACTTCAATCTAGCTCTCCTGATCCTAAGCCCACCACATTGCAAACTGCTTTTCCAAGGGTGTAAAGTGTTGAAGAAAACCAAAGCTGGACAGCATTTAAGCAGTAAAACAGATTTTATTCAGGAAATATTGCAATGGGGGAAAAAGACCTCAGTATGGTACTGGGTTCTATTCCAAAGGCAGCAAAGGCAAGTGAGGAAATACAGCCAAAGAGCACACTGGGGGAAATCAGTGGATGGAAAATCATAAAGAGGAAACATCAGGGCTAGGGGGATTCTTGCTAAATTGATTCAACAGGATTCCTGTCCTACCAAAGGATGCCAGAGTGATGAGATATCACCTGGGGGATGGCATGGGGTGAGTGATCAGGTACCAGGGGTGGGGGTTTCTCACTAAACTGACCTAGCAGGACTTTTGCTAGAATCAGACATGGCAAAGACAGACACAGAAGCCCAAGGTTGAGGTCCAGTTGAGAAGAGGGCTCAGAGAAGCCTACCTAAAGTTTGGTCAAGGCAAGAGGCTTTGTCAAAGGCAGCTCCGTTACCCTCAGGAAGATCTGCAGAGAACCCAGTCTTCCTTTACCTGGCCGGATCAACATTCTGGCCCAACAATCCTTCTTCTCTCATCTGTTCCAAAAAGCAAAAGCATTAGAATAGACAAATTGTACGTGAATATTGGGGAAGAGAAGACTGCTCAGGATTTCTGTGAAAAATGTGTTACACTACAGATGTTACTTGTTCTTTCCAAAAAGACACTTGTATTGCTTCTTACCAGGTTCCACCCCATGGTGGATTCTTCTACATCACGCTTGGAATTCGTTAACTCTGTAATCCTGTTTCTGAGGAACCATAACTTTGATGGACTGGATGTAAGCTGGATCTACCCAGATCAGAAAGAAAACACTCATTTCACTCTGCTGATTCATGTAAGTCAGATGCCATGGTGTACTCAGTACTCTGACCTCCAGAATCCACAGCCACATTGGGAGACATAAGGAAGAGATTGAGTGTGGTGGGAAGACACAACCCCAGGCTTTCTGAAGCCACCACTGATGACAGAAAAGCCCCTGTTCCTATTTTAAGGCAGGAACAATATGAAACAATGGAGCCCCCTTGTATACTTATTTTGATGTTCTTCTTTTTGATGAAGAACATCAAAATAAAGCAACATCCATATGAAAGAGTGTGTAGCCATAGGATTTCCTGGGTACTGAGGTAGCCTCATAGAAGATCTATCAGATAGATCCGAAAATCTGTCAGGTAGAAACCAAGATGATTATTTCCTGGGTACAGTGAGGTTGGGGTCCTCCTGCCTAATGTGGAAACTTCCTGAGCCAATACAGGCACGGGGCATCCCCATATGGGATGGAGAGGAAACGGCTGATCTTTTCCATCTAATGTGGTTCTAAACCTCATAGATCCCAGGCAAGAAGCTTAGCGCTGTACTCGGGGAAGGGGAATCTAACACCTTGTTTCCTTGTTTTTCCTAGGAGTTAGCAGAAGCCTTTCAGAAGGACTTCACAAAATCCACCAAGGAAAGGCTTCTCTTGACTGCAGGTGTATCTGCCGGGAGGCAAATGATTGATAACAGCTATCAAGTTGAGAAACTGGCAAAGTGAGTACATCAGAGCAACTTTCCATCCCTCTGCTTCCAATCTGGTCCATGCAAATGATGCATCGCATGTTTGAGGGATGAGGGGAGAAGGAGGAGAGGGAAGGTCACTGTCCTAACCCTGCGTCATGAAGCCAGGAACAACTTTACAGAGACTTTCAGTCCTTCTAGCAGCATCATTCAAAGCTAAAACAATCACTTAACAATTGTTTCTACCACTGCTCTTCACAAAATTTCTCCCTTTGCTTTTGGCACTTTAGAGATCTGGATTTCATCAACCTCCTATCATTTGACTTCCATGGGTCTTGGGAAAAGCCCCTTATCACTGGCCACAACAGCCCTCTGAGCAAGGGGTGGCAGGACAGAGGGCCAAGCTCCTACTACAATGTGGTGAGTAGGCCAGTGGAACTGCAGGGGTACTGGCTGTGGGAGTGGGGCCGGGGAGAGTCCAGCATGTCTAGAGTTACTTCTGTCTTGAACTTAGGAAGAGCTATGAGCCCAAGAGGGAACTTGGTAGCCCCAAGAGCAAGTGAGTGCAGGAGAAGTGCTTTGACCAGGCACCAAAAAAAATGTCATCTGGAAAATGTCAGAAGTGCTGATAGCTGAAGTGCCCTAAGCTCTGTCTCTGGCTCAGAGTGTCCCCCATCCCAGTCTTCTCTGGATTCTCCATCTTTGATACATTTCTTGGCATCTACACAGGTGAACAGAGCTTGTACCTTCCTGTGTCCGTCTACATTCCCTATTTAATTCTGTTTTTAAAACAACCCCATGAGGTCAGCTGGGTAGGAAGTGTTACTCCCACTTCACAGATGATGAAACAGAAATTCGTCAGATTCCATTGACTCTTCAAGGTCGTGTGATGTGAAGGTCCTGGTGGTGGGAAATGAAAAGTAAAAAAAAAGATAGTAATGTAATAATGTTGTTGATGCTGTTCTGGAACATAACGTATCCAGCCAATGAGTTTTCCTTGCCCACTGATTTATCAAGATAGGGGAATTGCAATAGAGAAAGAGTTTAAGTCATGCAGAATCGGCTGTATGGGAGACTGGAATTTTATTATTACTCAAATCAGTCTCCCTGGAAATTCAGGGATCAGGGTTTTTAAGGATAATTTTGTGGATGGGGGGTCAGACAGTGGGGAGTGCTGATTGGTCAGGTTGAAGATGAAATCATAAGGGTTCAAAGTGGGTTTTTCTTGCTGTCTTTTGTTGTTGGTTGGGATCACAGAACTGGTTGGGCCAGATTCCTGGGTCTGGGTGTTGTCAGCTGGTGCATCAGAATGCAAGATCTGCAAAATATCTCAAGCACTGATCTGAGGTTTTGCAACAGTGATGCTATTCCCAGCTGCAATTTGGTGAGGCTTGGAATCTTGCAGCCTTTGGCCGCATGACTCCTAAACCATAACTTCTAATCTCATGGCTAATTTGTTAGTTCTACAAAAGCAGACTGGTGTCTAGGCAAGAAGAGAGTTTGTTTCCAAAAAGGGCTGTTAATCATCTTTGTTTGAAATCTAAACTATAAACTAAATTCCTCTCAAATTGAGTTGGCTTACACCCAGGAATGAACAAGGACAGCTTGGAGGTTAGAAGCAACATGGAGTCAGTTAGCTCAGATCTCTTTCACTGTCACAGTTTTCTCAGTTACAATTTTTGCAAAGGCTGTTTCATATATATGGATGTATATTCCTAAAATTCTGGGAGAAAAAAAATATCTGTGTTGCATGCTTCCAGGCCTTCATATTCAAAGTTACAAAATGGATCAGTCCAGAGCTAGATATGATTTCTGGTTGGCGTTTTCTAGGCCTTCATGTGGCTAAGTCACATCAGCCTCCTTCATTCCTTCCTCTCTGTCAGTTATCTTTAAGGATGAGGAGACTATCTTTGTCTTCTCTAACCCTTTATTTTGTTCTGAGAGCAGGAAAGCCAAAATTAGCCTCTTACCTCCCAATCTATCTGTAAACCAAAATTAAATTCTAAGCCCCCCAAATATCTGAACAAATCCCTCCTCTTGGCCAAGGGCATTCAAAGTTAATCTGAAAAATTAATTCAGGTCATGATGGGAAGTTGGGTGTCAGACATGCCTTGCAGCTGACCAGCACTAACATCAACACAGAGACCTTAAGACTGATAGAGCAGACTTTCTAAGTCTGATGAGAAACATTTACAATCTAATCTTTCGGAAGCCTGCTACCTGGAGGCTTTATCTGCATGATAAAACCTTGGTCTCTACACCACTTATCATAACCCAGACATTCCTTTCTATTGACTCCAGGCCTTTACATAATAACTCTTTCAACCAATTGCTAATCAAAAGATCTTTGAATTTACCTATGACCTGGAAGCTGCAGCTTCTAGTTGTCCTGCATTTCTGGAGTGAACCAATGTACATCTTACATATATTTATTGATGTCTTATGTTTCCCTGAAATGTATGAAATCAAGCTGTAACCTGACCACTGTGGGCACATATCCTCGGGATCTCCTGAGAGCTGTGTCATGGGCCATTCGTCACTCATATTTGGCTTGGAATAAATCTCTTCCAATATTTTACAGAGTTTGACTCTTTACATTGACATATCCCACTGGGTTCAAGGTCATTGTGAGGCCTCATGGACCAGGAATCTGACAGCCACCTTTGTCAGTATTCACAATGAGCCGTTGTGTAGACAAATCCCATAGGGATTTTGTGTTGACTCAAAAGGGAAAGGAAGATGGTGACAACCTTGATTTCATGTTTTCTAGGTTTCTTGACTGATTTCTTTTGTGATCCACCGTCTAGTTCCTTTCAGAAATTAGAAAAAGCTGTATAAGCCTCTTGCTGCTGAAGAGCATATGTGCGTTAAAACAAGCACTCTTGTCCTGGGGAGGTCTGGTCTTTTCACACTCAGATGTAGAAAAGAAACCAAGCAGTCACCTCTGTGAAGTTCGGAATAGAGGCTAAAAAAGGCCTGACACCTTTCTTTCCCCACTCTGAGCCTCCATCTCTCTTCCCATTCTAGGAATATGCTGTGGGGTACTGGATACACAAGGGAATGCCCTCAGAGAAGGTGGTCATGGGCATCCCCACATATGGGCACTCCTTCACACTGGCCTCTGCAGAAACCACCGTGGGGGCCCCTGCCTCTGGCCCTGGAGCTGCTGGACCCATCACAGAGTCTTCAGGCTTCCTGGCCTATTATGAGGTACCTGGAAACCACCTGTACCCTCAGCTCCCTACCGTGTCTGGGTAGATATTCCAGCTTCAATCTGACAGCACAGTAAAGCATTCTGAGTGTTGTGAAGGGGAAAGTTCACAGAACTACTGAACATGTGAAGGGAGCTCCCAACTCTGGTTTGGGAGAGGGTCAGGGAATGCTTCCTGGAGGAAGTGAAATAAGCTGAACTCTGAAGATGAGATGGAGCTAGCCAGGAATGGGGATAGGTAGAGGAGGATGTGAGAAATTGAAAAAGGAAGACTACCCCAAGTTCTTGATTTGAGCAGCTAAGTGGATGGCAATGCCATTTACAGGAGATAGGGAAGACTGGAGGGAGAACAGAGTGGACATTGGTCCTGCTCATGAGATCAGTTTTGGACGTTCTGAGTGTGAGGAGCCTGTGGGACATATAGATAACAAGTGAGTCGTTGAATATATGGGTTTGGATCACAGCAGACCAGTCTGCACTAGAGAAGTAGATTCAAAAATATCAGCACAAAGGTGTTACCTGAAGCCAAACCATACAATGAGAAGTGCATGAGGCCCAAGACAAACCCAAGAACCTCCTACACCTGAGGGATGTGCAGAGGAAGGGGAACATATTAAGGTAACTGACAAGGAACTACAAGAGGGTTAGGAGGAACCCACACAGATCTGTGCCAAAGACCTTAGAGAAGTCGGTGTTTCAAAAAGGAGGGAGTGGTCAAATGTGTCCAATTCTGTGCGGAAGTCAGATAGATCATAGGGATAACAAAATTGTTCAGTTAATTATACCATCATTTCTCTCTGCCCTCCAATCTGGGAAAATTTATTTAAAAAGCACAGGGGAAGATATAAATCTAACATTAGGTCAACCAACAGAAACTCTTTGGACGCTCTCATATCCCAAACACTGGGTACTGTGAGAGCTAGAAATAAGTAATTATCCATCCTTGTCTCTAAAGGGGTTATAGTCAAGGTGAAAAGAATGTAGAATACAGACATAACTAGTTAAACAAGAGTTCAAAAACAAGACAACTATAATATTTAATAAAATCAGAGAGGTATTATAAAACAATATGGGATTCAATGACCAATGAATGGTATAGAGTGACATGAGATCAGAGATGTGTGACTAGGGAAGGCTCCACGGAAGGGGAGAAGTTTATGCTGGGCCTTGAAGGATGAGTAGAAATTTGATCAGGTGGAGAAAAAATATATCATTCTATATCCTGGTCTATCTTTGGAGTCCCAGCCTGACCTCTCATTGTGAATGTGGACATGCCATAGGCCCATGCTGAATGACTTGGCACCCACCAAGGTACCCATTCAGTGTAATGCTCAATTTTTCCTTTCACCTTACACATAGGAATGATTGACATATCATCAATTCAACAGGCAACAGGAATGGGACATGGGTCATCGTGAGAGTCCTCAATGAATCTCAGGGTGCCTGATAGATAGGAGGTGGGAGAGAGGCTGACCCATCCTTGGGTAGTTCTAGGTAGATAGCAATAACACTCTTAATTTAAGGGAGAAGAGAGGTCATTGCTCAGAATCTACTGGTAGGGTTATAATATCAACCCCTAGATATGCACTTCCCATCTCATGGAAAGTTTGATTTGATTGTTCAGTTCATAATGACTCTAGGCCACTATAACTTTGACAGGTTGATATTTGCTTAAATATTCAACTTTCATTTTCTGCCCTCATTGTAGTAAGTGTGAATGTAGTTCATCCAAAAAGAGTAATCCAAAAGGGATTTTCTATGTGATGTTGAAATGCATTTTTTAATTGAAGATTTATCTTTTTTAGAGCTCTTCCTTATGCTAACAGAAAGAATGTAGCTAATAACAGAATGGGAGCCCCAGGACAGGGCATATTGGGAATGGGAGGGGACAGAGGGGGAGTAATGAGATTTAAGTGGAGATGCTACAAGATGAGGAATAGTAGTGATGGTCAGGATAATACTTCACATTTGTAAAGCACTTTACTGTTTTCAAAATTTTTTTTAATGTGTATTAGCTCATTTGATCCTAACAACAACACTGGAAGGTAGATATGTTGAAAGCATTATTATAATTATTTCCATTTTGCAAATGAAGAAATTGGAAGATTTATTGGTCGGTGCTGGGATCTGATCTGGAACTCAAGTATTTTCTGATTTCTAGCTGCTGTATCTCCTCCTGATGAGACTTTAGCACAGACACTTCCCAGTGGTTCACCTTGGACCACCCACTTCGTATGATATATGTGGTCATTCCTCTCATTGTCTGATCCTTGGGATAAAGGTTCTGACATTTTTCCCAAGCCCCTAGTGGCTCACTGTCCTGTCTACCCCCACCAAGTTTCAAGAATAACCCATTACTGACCCTCTCGTTTCCCTTTCCTCTGCCAGATCTGCCAGTTTCTGAAAGGAGCCAAGATCACAAGGCTCCAGGATCAGCAGGTTCCCTACGCAGTCAAGGGGAACCAGTGGGTGGGCTATGACGATGTGGAGAGTATGGAGACCAAGGTAGGTGGGCAACAGGATCTGGAATAGGCAGATGCTCCTTTAGGTGGGGAATGGGGATATGTAGTAAAATGCCTGAATACTCTTATGTTGAAAGAGAGAAGCTTCTGAGGCCCCAGACTCTAGGATGGGACTCAGCAGTCTCTATAGGTCAGGTTTAGTAGTGACTCTATGTCATACCTATGAGCAGCTGTGGTACAGGTAGATGAGTTGGAAAGGACACAAAAAAGAGTTGGGAACAAGTAAGTTTATTGTGATAAGTGAGGAGTGGAGAGAAGAGAAAGGCAAGAAGAAGGGAGAGGGAATAAAGGAGACATTGGTGCCTGTACAGGTAATCTACTTTGTTAATGATCTCAGGACAAACTGTTTAGTCCTTCTCATAGATTACCTAGCTAGGAGGCTCCAGATTCCTGAGCCTACCAGTTCTTAGACCTTGGTAAGACATTTGCATTCCTTTCAGGGTTAGGGCAAAAAGGAGGCTTGAGTGTAATTGACAATCCTGGCCACTTGTCTTGTTAAGGGCTTCCTAGTTTCTTCCCTTATTATGGAGAGTTTTCTCAGCCTCCAAAAATGCCAGACTTTGAGTGTGGTGACTCAAGTCAGAATGAGAGGTGGCTAATGCTGACTTGGTGGCTCTCTCTCCCTCAGCAATCTTACCCCTCAGGGACTCTCTAACTCCAGAAAACCAGTTAGTCTACCGCTGTATTCTAAGCTGAGACCCTCATCTGAACCTGATATGGTCCTGGACATTTAGGGGTCACTTCTAATCTCTATGTGTCCTGTGCCTCCCATAGGTTCGGTTCTTAAAGAATTTAAACCTGGGAGGAGCCATGATCTGGTCTATTGACATGGATGACTTCACTGGCAAATCCTGCAACCAGGGCCCTTACCCTCTTGTCCAAGCAGTCAAGAGAAGCCTTGGCTCCCTGTGAAGGTAACAGTCCAGGCTGGAGCTGGGAGTGGGCAGAGAGATGGGCAGAACAGGGCACAAGAGACTGGGGGAGATCATCTTCACATATTTGGGCTAATCCTTTCTCATGCTCCTTTGGCTCTTCTGCCATGTTTTCTTAGTGATTAGGCTGGTTCTGCCCTTTTCATAGGTTTCCCATAGACTTTTAAAGTGATAATAATATTAATAAAATTTGGCTACCATTTATTGAGCATAGTATGAGCTAAGGACTTTCATTACATATATATTAGGGATAAATATTGACTCCACCACAATTCTTGGTTACAAAATCATCAGCCTGTCTTAATTTTCTAAATCACAATAAATCTGACTCTGTGCCCTCAATTCACTTGACTGATGACAATTTCCATCTCAGTCACTACCTGATGCTCTTTTTCCCCACCCACAGTTGATCTTACTTAGTCTAGACATTTGTGAGCTCCCATGGTCATTATTGATACGCCTTTACCGAAGTCTCCCTATTACCTTGAAGGTCGGTGGCTTTGCTGCTGCTCCATCCCTGGGCCCCCAGTTCCCTAGGTGCGTTGTATATCCTCCTGTGCAGATGAAGGCTGTTGCTGACCAACCAGTTATGCTGTGATACATTGGTTCTAGGGCAGAGGGTGGAGTAGCAGGGCGCTGGGGCTCACTGCAGATGGACAACTAAAAAGGACTGGCTCTACTATCCTGGCAAAGGGCGTAGAACCATTTGAAAACTCCTGATTAGATAATTGGGTAGCAGCCTTCCAATTCTGAGCATCCATTGTTTAGTAACTTGATTTAGGCCTCAGTTTACTGAGTTGGGCTTTGAAATATTTTTCCTTTTGTTTCCAGGATTAACTTACAGAGAAGCAGGCAAGGTGACCTTGCTGCCTGCGGCCTGCTCTCTCCCAGGAATTCTAATGTGGGATTCCCCTTGCCAGGCTGGCCTTTGGATCTCTTCCAAGCCTTTCCTGACTTCCTCTTAAATCATGGATTGGACCTGGTTTTGCTTTCCTGCAGCTGTTGACTTGTTGCCCTGAAGTACAATTAAAAAAAAATTCATTTTGCTCCAGTAAGTATGGCCTCATTTGTTCAGTCCTTGACCCTGTGATATCAGGTTGTTCTGTTCCTCCTATTTGTGGGGTCCAGAGCTAAGGTGAAAACGAAAGTTTGCATATCATGTTTAAATATTAAAAACAGCTAACGTGCTGTTAAAATATGACTTATGCTCCAACATTAACACATACAACTTTGCAACCACTTGAAAGATCAGAACTTGAAAATTTAAAATTCTCAGACTCCTTGGAATTCCACATGAGAATTCCCATCTTTGCCTCTCTCACAGCAGAAGCCTCATGGGCATACTTGTGGACACTGTAGGCTTTGCATCCAAGCTTCATCTGCACTCTACCCTCTACCCTCAACCTCCAACACACACACACACACACACACACACACACACACCCCTCTGGGCTATGCATGTGCACACAAGCATTGTAGTCCACTCTCAGTGAAGATGGGCCCAGGGAAAAGTCACGTGCAGTCCCTGAGAGAGCGCATAGGCTTTTCTGGCTATTTGGGTAGAAATGCTGGATATCTGGATCATGATTTAGAAGAGGAGGTATGTGAACTTTAGGTGAATGTGCTCCTAGCCTGGCAGTCTCCTTACCTTGTGGGGAGGGGTGCAACTGGAAGAGGGCCCAAGTGGGACACTCCAAAGGAGGGTCAGAAAACTATGGCCCATGGATCAAACCTAGCCCACTGCCTGTTTTTGAAAGTAAAACGTTATTGGAAGACAGCCACACCCAGTTGGTTTACATATTGTCTGTGGCTACCTTCTCCCAACAATGGCAGAGTTGAGAAGCATGACAGAGATGGTATGGCCTGCAAAGCCTAAACTATTTACTCTCTGGCCCTTTACAGAAAAGTTTGTCAACTCCTTTTCTAAAGCATGGTGCCCACAGCACCAGGTCTAAGGCTGATTCTGGTGTCAGACTCCTTAATTTTAGGATGAACTGTTTTCCCCCATTTTCCCAATTTCTTCCAATCTTTTCCTTCCAGAAAAGCCACTTTTATCTTGACCTTTGAACAAGAGTTTCATACACGTGTTTAATCCTCATGGCTTGTGAAGTGACAATAAGCCCAATTTTCAGATGAACTAACTGGGACATCAGCGTAAGGGTACATGTCTGATAAGTGGTGGCAACTAGACTGAATCCAAGAAGGCAGCAGCACCAGAATGTCTGTGGAGGAGGGGATTAGAGGTGGCTCCATGATCGAAGCGGCATAGGGTGGGAATACTAGGAGACTTTTTCAAAACGACTTTGAATATCCTATTATGATGGAAAACCCCAGACGTACATACCAAAGAATGGCAGTGGCAAGCACTGACGGATACTAGGGGAAGTTAGTCCCCAAGGTCCCCTTGAATGCTGCTCCAGTGCTCAGATCTTCTTACTACAAGGTAGAAATTGCTTGGGCACCTCTCTGGCTTTCTAACTCTGGCTTTCTAACTCTGGCTTTCTAACTTTGCTTTCTGTGGTAATTGAATTCTCAAGAAGCAGAAGAGCAGAGTAATTAAGAACATAGTCCGGAACCAGATCTCCTGGGTTCACACACACTGGCTTTGTCACCAGCCTAGTGGCTATGTGACCTTGGGCATGTTATTTACCTTTTATGTGCCGCCAGCTTTCTCATTTTTAAGGTGGGGATAATAAGAGTACCTACCTCTCAGGGATGTGATGATGGTTTGGTAAGTTAATATTTGTAAGGCATTTGGGCAAATGCCTGACACATCACAAATACTATTTGTGTTTGTTATTATTTCCATTAAAAGGAAAACATTAGATAAAACAAATCTAACAGAATTTATTTGAGCAAAGAATGATTCAGTGAATTGGGCAACACTGAGAACCAGAAGAGGTTCAGAGAGCTCTCCTCTGCAATATGGAGAATGAGTATTTACAGACAGAACAGAAAGTAGAGAAATAATCTAATTGGTCACAGCCAGGAGTCTGCCTTATTTAAACATGGTCTAATCAGTTGGCTGCCTGTGATTGGCCGAGATCTGGTTACTGTTACAAAAAAAAAATACTTCTAAGTTAGGTTTCAGTTTATTTATATACTACATTAGGTTCCAGTTCATTAGTAGGGACTCAAACTACAGAGATAACCTCAGGCCAAAGTTAATTTAACACTTCCATTATCCAGCTGCTATAACAGGCACGAGAGAGTATGGGCAGCTGCCCAACACATTAACCTTGGCCTTGCATGGAGCCTGAGAGCGCATTAAAGGTCTGTGTCTTGGGCTCTAAGCTTTGAACTCTATGGAGCTTGCTGTGACGATAGAACCATTTGTTTTGCAAACATCCAGGAGAAGATTAAGGAAATCAAGGCCCCTTGTTTGGTTGGGGTTGGGGATGGATCCTGATCCCCTCCCCTCCCCTCCCCTCCCTTCCCCTCCCCTCC